GATAGCTCAAGGTGCAGAAGAGTGTGAAGGGATGGACATTGGGAGGAGGTAACTATGGGAGGAAGTGGGAGGGGAGCTGTTGCATTGTAAATTTTGGTTAATGACATGAGACAAAGTATATGTGAACTGCTGTATGAAAAGTGAATTTACTCTGTAAATCTTCACCCAAATCAAAATTAAATTAAAAAAAAGAAAATAAAAAAAGAAAAAAAAGAAACATTTTGAGAGTATGTTTCTCCACAGTTTAGTGAAATCTACAGTCAGTGAGTCTCTGATAAAATGAAGCTAATGATTTAATATATCACTTTTCCCACCCATTTTGGATGGGAAATTAATGAACACTGGGTACTCTAGGAAGGAGCTCTGGTGGCCTAGTAGGTAAGGCATTTGGCTACTTGGCTGCTGACCAGAAGTTTGTGGTTCAAACCCACCAGCTGCTCTGCAAGAGAAAGATGAGGCAATCTACTTCTGTACAGAATTAAAGCCTTGGAAACCCAATGGATAACTATGAATTGGAATCAACTCCATGGTAATGGATTTGGCTTTTATGGTTTTGGGGTACCACTCTAGAAGTCACTGGGTGATACAAATGGTCAGGGAAAGGTTTTAGTATATTCCCATCTTTACTTTTTTGAGCTGGGCTCTGTGGCTAGTGGAACCTTTCCACTGTGTTCAGAAGGATTCTGAGTAGAGAGTGAGTGCCTGTTGCTCTGGCTTGTAGTAAGCAATCAAAAATAGAAGAATGGATTTGACATCTCTTTCCCCATTTCCTTCCTTGTCTCTTCCAGGTGAGTAGTAAGCTCAACAGGGAAAAGAATCGAGGGCTGGCGACATAATTTAAGGATTGCTAGGAAGCATCCCAATGCAATCAATTGCTGTCTACTTGATATTGATTCATGGTGACCTCAGGTATGTCAGTCATGTATGTGTGTCATTGGGTTTTCATTGGCTGATTTTTCAGAAGTAGATAGCCTAGACTTTCTTCCGAGGTTCCTCTGGATAGACTGTACCTCTAACATTCCAGTTAGCAGTTGAATACTTTAACCATTTGCGCCACCCAGAAACTCAATCCTGAAGCTACCCTCCTCCTCCAATATTTTCTTCCATAGGCCAGGCCAACAGCACAAAGTAAGAATATGGTCAATGGACTCCAAGGATGAGGGAAGATAAAAACCTGAAGAAAAGGAACGTCCCTCAGAAAAGTATGTGTGAATTTTTTTTTTTTTATTAGCTAAATATAAAAAGCATTTGTAAAACTGCACCCAAATTACAATAAAAAGTTCAAACTAACAAAATTGGCTCAGAATACATTCACAATATTCTGCTTAAAAATTCTTTCTAATTAGTTCATTATATTTAAAACTATTTGTATGATCTCTTTTGCTTTTATTTTCTTCTCTTGTAAATTTTTAGAGTGAGAAAGTAATAAGTATCATGACATGTGGAAGAAATGCTGGTCTTTTAAACAGAAGCCTTGATAGCACAATGGTTAAATTAACTCAGCTGCTAACCAAAATGTCTGTGGTTCAAACTTACCAGCCACTTTATGAGAGAAATATGTAGCAGTCTGCTTCCATAAAGATTACAGCCTTGGAAACCCTATGGGACAGTTCTACTCTGTCCTATAGGGTCATTATTAGTTGGAATCAACACAATGGGCAGTGGGTGTTTTTTGTTTTATTCACAATAACCTAATTAAAGTATTATTATATTAAGAATCATACAGTGTCACTTACAAAGCAACATGCACATTTTAAAAAGTGCTCACAAAATAAATTAAAAGTATGTTTTATAAATTAAGAAAATATATTTCAGTTGTAACAAAAATACTTCAGGATCTACTCGCATATACCACTCTTATCTGCTGGATAAAATATAAAACTTGGCTTAGAGTATAGGTAAGTGAATGGGAATATACCCATAACCATATACAGGTTTGGCAGATGTTATTCCTATATACATATTTCTATTTGTTATAAAAATGCCCATATTCATTACAAAGCTAATAGAGGACAAAGTTAGTATAACTTGTTAGCCATAACCAAGCACCTTGATGGAGTGTATGAATTGTTGAATGTAAAACACATCTACTTTGTAAAACTGTACCCAAATTACAATAAAAAGTTCAAACAAACAAACAAAATTGGCTTAGAATACATTTCACAATATTTTGCTTAAAAATTCTTTCTAATTAGTTCATTACATTTAAAACTATTTGTATGACCTCCTTTGCTTTTATTTTCTTCTCTTGTAAATTTTTAGAGTAAGAAAGCAAGAAGTGTCATTACACGTGGAAGAAATGCGGGTCTTTTAAACAGAAATTTTCACAAGAAAAATTTTTCTTCTATTACACTTTTAGATTTTTTCCCTTGAATAAGGCTTCTGCAGTTCCAGTTGAGAATTACTGTAATGAAGCCAGTGGCCCAATCATCCATGCTACAGAAGTTTCTCAACATCTGAAGGATTTTTAAGGGATATTACTTCCCCCACATTGGGAGCTCTGGTTGCATAGTGGCTAAGACACTTGCCTGCTAACCAGACGGCTGGCGGTTCAAACCCACCAGCCACTCCTTGGAAGGAAGGTTGGGCAATCCTACTTCTGTAGTGATACTGCCTTGGAAACCCAAGGAGGGGTCGCTATGAGTCGGGTTTGACTCGACAGCACATAACAACAACAACAACAAACTTCCCCCACATTATGTTGTTATTCAGTTGCCATTGAGACAGTTCTGACTTATGGCAACCATGCGTGCTCCATAGGCAGTGACTTTTCAGAAGCAGGCCAGCAAGCCTGCCTTCTGTCTGAGGTGCCTCTGAATAGGTGCAAAGTACTAACCTTTGGGTTAGTAGTTGAGCGCTTAATTGTCTGTGACACCCAGGGACTTTTCCCTGCATTATAAACCTACATTAAAAAAATAAAAGATTACAAAAATAAGAAAATTTTCTATAATTAAAAAATAACTATCAGTGGTCTTTTAAATGTCACAGTTACATTGAACGTTCCAGCTACCTAGCAAAGATGATTTCTTTTGCTGCTGCGAAATATCATTTGTGTATTTTCTGCAAAATTCTAATGAAACGGCGCCACAATTCTATTAGATGTGAGATATTTTCCTGGCATGTTGTTCTGACTTCTCTTTTCTTTCTCTTCTTTACTACCTGGGTATTATTTATCTGTGGAATAGGAGAATAAATAGTCAAAATTAATTTTCACTGCTTTTAACAACCATTGTCTTCTCAATTCTTCAAATCCACCTTCACTATGCCCCCAACACACTTGCTTATTTATAGCCATATGTGATTTCTGCAGAGGAATGACCTCTTGTCACTCCACCCACCTCCTCTTGCTTCAAGGCCAAGTACCACTTCCTTCACAAAGCCTCTCCCAATTGCTTAGAACTTTCTTCTTGAAACTATCCCAGAGCTTAGGAGTGGTGTCATTTGTCTTGGCATTCACTTACATGCTATTTTTAGTATTACATCATAGGTATTACCAATAACACTGTGTACATAAGAAATGCTGAATTTTTATTGAATGACTAAATAAGTCAATGAATTCATGATTTCATTATCTCCCTGACAAGATCATAAGTTCCTTTAGGACTTATGTCTCCTCATATACATCATTGAGTAAGCCTATTATTTGGACCCAAAATGTAACCCCCCTCCCCACACACACACCTATATGTGCCACAGACACCCTGAAGTCTTATTCTGAAGAGTCGTCTTCTTTTTTTTTTTTTTTAAAGATTCCAATAACCTTTGGTGTATTCCTTACTCTTGAGTAGTGACAAACTGGCTCTCCTAGACACACAATATTTGGACTAATCGAGTTACTAAGCAAAAATTTACAGTCTAAAATTGTTAAATTATAACTAAATATTATTGCTAGACTCTCCCTTTGTGCTTGAAGGAGGACCAAGGCAAATTACTCTAGACTTTCTTACTTGCTATTCAGGAACTTGATCTAGCCTTTTTGTTGTACTCATCTCCACGTGGATGAACTTCATCTTGGCCATCTGTAGATTTGCCAGGGTTTCCTTGATCAGAAGGCCTAAAGCCAAATGGATTTCTCACTTGGCTGCCTGGTGCTGTGTTTCCGATTCAGAAACCTCTCAACTCAGATTAGCCTCAGTTCTCAAATGCCTAAAAAGTGACAACCTTGGCCACTCAGATACACAGTGCTCAGACTCATAGGGCCACATAGTTCATATGCAACAATTGTATTTATCTCAGTTTGTCTTTTCTAATTTTATCATCATGAAGCTAAAGTCCCTGCTTCCTTTGCCTGCTGAAACAAATATATACTGAATACTTGTAATGTGCCAGGTACTGTTCCAAGTGCTTTTACATAGATTGACTCATTTCATCCTCATAAACATATGATACTTACTAATACTATCTATGGGAGCTCTGGTAGCATAGTGCCTAAGGCACTTGACTGCTAACCAGAATGCTGGAGGTTCAAACCTACCAGCCACTCCTCAGAAGGAAGGTTGGGCAATCTACTTCCATAGTGATACCACCTTGGAAACCCAAGAAGGGGTCGTTATGAGTCGAGTTCCATTCGATGGCACATAACAATAACAACAATACTATCTATAAGGCAGATTAACCTGAAGCAAAGAGGCTAATAATTTATGCAAAATCTCAGTTAGAATTCTAAATCAGGCAGCCTGCCTCCAGAATAACTTCCCCTAACTCTCCACTATACTGTCTCCATATTTAAAGTTCCATACTCATTCAACTACATGTAACTTCACGTACAAAAAGTCCATTCCATAAAAGGATAGCAAAGAAAAACCCAAACTCACTGCCATGGAATAGGATCCGACTCATAGCAACCCCTCCTTGGGTTTCAGAAGTGGTATCACTACAGAAGTAGATTGTCCAATCTTCCTTCTGAGGAGTGACTGGTGAGTTTGAAGTGCCAGCCTTCTGGTTAGCAGTCAAGTGCCTTAGGCACTATGCTACCAGAGCTCCCATAGATAGTATTAGTAAGTATCATGAAAGCAATTGGGCAAACAGGGTAAAGATTTAAGGTATAATTTAACATTTTAAGAACAGGCACACAATCATTAAGTGATAAGCCCAAACAGTGCTGTTCAAAGTTTGGAATGGATAAAAATCTCTTAAGGAGCTCCATCCCAGGGATTGTGATTTTGAAGATCTGGATTGGGTTCCTGAGAACCTGTTGAACAATCACCCTCTTATGCTGTAACAGACACCATATTCTGATGTAGGATGCTTACTGATCATACCTTGTAACAGCGGTCTATGGTTTAAAACCATAATTAAGCCAAAATCGAATCAAATCTTAAGATCAGGTCAATTCTGGCCCAGATGTCAGCGTGGAAGTTTATATTTTTTACCCATCTCATATGCTCTTCAAAATATCAAACCTGAATAGGAAACACGGAACGACCCCTGCATGAAAACCCCACTTTAATTTAAAGTTGTTGTTAGATGCCAACGAGTGGATTCCGACTCATCAACCTTATGTATAACAGAAAGTACCACTGACCAGTGCTGCGCCATCCTCAAAGTTTTTGCTACGCTAGAGCTCATCGCTGCAGCCACTGTGTTAATCGTTGAGAGATGTTAAAGAAAGAGAGACCCGCGCATCCGGGTTACCTGACTTTCGGAGTACCCTGGGCACCGCTGAGTCAGCGAAGCTTTAGTTACAACTGCCAAGGTTTCATAGTGGAATGACAGACAATCAGTTTCGGGACTGAAGGTACGTTGCACGATTTCAGTGAGACATTCTGACTGCTCGTAGACGACAAAGTTTCAGAAAGAAGGAGAAAACGGCAGAAAAAAAAAAAAAAAAGAAAAGGAAACAAAAAAAGAGAGGAGCAAAAATCGAGTGGAAAGAGTAGTAAGGGAGACAAAGGAGGAGCCAGAGACACAACAAAAGGGAGTAAGAGAAAAGGCATCAGGCAAGGTCATGGGGAAGAAGAGCGAGCCAAGGCAAGAAGCAGGAAGTACGGGCGTTGGGAGAGCAGCCAAGAGCGCAGTTGGAAAGAGGCGGGGAGGAAAAAGAGAAACAGTTAATTTAACCAGAGGCCAGGCACTGACGCTAGCTCCGCCCAAGTCGATGCAGTAACCTAGAGGTGGCTCCCAGCGCAGTGGCTTCACACCCGGGGAGGAGATATCCCTGACGTCATTCCTAGGTCCCAGTTCCCTATTTGTTCTTCCTCCCGGGAGGCAGCCACTCCTGGAATCCCGCTCCATCCCCAGAGAGATTTCCTTCCAAGTTAAAATAGAAGTGAAGTCAGAAGCTGGGTACAGCACCGGAGTTTTCTGGCAGTCCCGCGCGGGTAGCGCAGTTCGCCCCTACTCTGGAGCCTAGCCACTGACAGGAGATCTACGCGCCGCTGGATAAGCCCTTTCCCCCTGATCGCCTGCGTTTATCTGGAGAAGCCAGCAGCACTGACCATCCTACTCACCCGGTTTTTACAGAAGTGGTATTTGCTGGCCCTGGTTTTATTGGTCTGGATGGAAAAGAGAGAAAAAAAGAATACATTTTTAACGACAAGAAGGGTAAAGACTCTTAAGCTCTGAGGGGAAATCATCCCCAGTTGCTCCCAGAATTTAAAGATGCTCTGAAAGTAGTTTCTGTTTTGGTGCTTGTTTTCTATGTATCTGATCGCTGACAAGCCACTAAAACATTTCGTCTTCAGATGGTGCTGGCTAGTGTTTTAAAGTGGACATCAAAAGGTCCTGGGCCAAGTTGGAGACCCTCCCTCCAAGCGGGCAACCTGCACAGGGCTAAACGTGAGCCATAGTGCCATTCTTTGGATGCTCACATCCACATTGTAACAGTTCATGCATTTTACACAAGCACACTCTATCTAGACATTAGAATGATTAGGAAGATAACTACTGTGTATTAAAAAATCTTAAGTGCATCATGTTTCCTAACAGCATCCTGAAACATCTAGAACATTAGAAAGACCTGAAGCACAACTTCCCTGAGATGTCTTCACTTCTTAGCATTTAGCTCACAAGAATTCCCTTTTACTCCTCTTTCTTTCTCAAGCCCCTACCCACTCTGTCTTAACTACACACTTGCAACAGCACTTTAAAAAAGACTAGACACCCTTGATGGAAAATATGTTCCTATCAATACCTACTCCTCAGCAGCTTATGCACACTTAGAATATACCAATATCTAGAAAGTTAGTTTAGAAGCAAAATATTTTGATATTCCCTGTAAAAATCTTGACAAACTGCTGGGTCATGATTTTTT